TATAGATATATATATATAATTTATATAAATTATATATTGTGTCTAAATTGTTAGTGATACGATCCTACATTTTGAATAAATATAATAAATAACATTCTATACTGTATATACAACATGTATAATTTAATAATCCCCTTTGTATGTTTTGGTGGATCACTATTGATTATGTGGATTTGATTGGTCTGGGAACGTTGTGACCGTTGGCTATATGACACCTTTTGGCCCTCGTCAGGTTACAAGTTGTTACAATGTTTGTTTATGGCTGAGGCTTTGCCACAATCTTCAAGTTTCAGGTTATGCGCAGAACTGCGCTGGTGGCTCAGTCCAGATGCTTCCAGAATTGACATCTGTGATCAGAGGAGAGATATTTCGATATTTTTAGTATTTTAGGTGTGGACTGTCAGACTACAAATGGCTGATTCCAGCAGTTAAAGTGACAGACGCAGTGGAGGGGGCCGTCAGGGCTTGTTCACATCTCCAGACCGGTTCTGGATGTGTTTCCGCATACACGGGCATGCACATTTTTGATGCAACCTGGTGCCTTTTTCTTTATGAAAAAAAATGGTTTTGCTTGGTTTTAAGTGCATTTTGGGGCATTCTGGGGTGTTAATATGCATTTTTGCAGTGCGAAAAAAGCATGCTGCTGTACTTCTTCAAAAAAGCTCTGCAACTGGAACCCTATTAGAATGGGCGGGGGGGGGGTTTGGCCCTTGGGCTTTTAGAGTGGCCTCAGGTGGGCCCCCCTTTAGAGTGGATTTGGGGGACTTAAAGTGGACACGTTGACCCTCACCTTATATCTTGTTACAATGTACAGTCTGATCACTAAGGGAGGTGAGACTGAGAAAATGCTTCCTCCTGCTTGCAGCAGACTAATAACATTGTCTCAGCCGTCTCAGCCTAAGCAAAGTCACTGACTGGAGATCTAGGATGTTTTCTTAATGATAAAAGATGGAGCTGTTCTGGAAAATGATACTGTTGCTGTATATTGGAACATGTCAGGAATTGATTCATGCAGATTTGTAAAGTTAAATACTGGTCCGCTTTAAAACCAGAGAAACTAGTAGTGAACTGAGCAGCCATTTTGTAGTAGTCCGTGTATCAGTCTTAAAGGGTGACATTGGAATTCCCCCTCATAGATGACCTCTGGGGTCCCCCAGACTTTCCTCTCCGCTGGGATATTGTAGGAAACTCTCATTAATTCACCACATTGTTTCCACTTAGATTTTCTTGAAGACAACAAACTGAGAGTAATGCGGTTTGTTCCTCTCAGTTTGTCCACTTGATTTTAAACAGTTACAGATTTGGAGTAATCTCGGTCTGACGACGTTCCGTTTTGTTTGAGCTCTTTATCATCTGCTGCTTCCTAGAGGGTATTAATTGGTGGAAGGGATGTCAGCGGCGGATTCCTGGCAGGGACACCATGTTTACACATTTGAACGACTGGGATGCACACAGACTCCAAGGACAACTTCCCTCTTCATCTCCTGAAGAAGCGCTATCTAGTGCGAAACGTTGAGAAAATCAAGCTCCTCCATCATCTTCCATTATATAAATCATGTTATGTAATTATGAACTTTTCAATCATGCTTTTTCAATCATGTTCAATTGCACAAGAATTCTGATTGTCATCTACATATGAATGAATTTAATCAATGTGGAGTGAGTTTATAGGGGAATCATGTTGTCAATTTTATCAATTCTATTTGCTTTTTAATCAATTAAAATATACTTTTTCAAGAAATTCTTGGTGTGCAAGTTGTCAGTCGGCTGCCTAAAAAACCCCAACTTTTCTGACTTTTCGATATACGACTCTCAGGGGTGTTGGCATCCTAAGCCTTGATCCAGGTCACTGTCTTTTCAAATCAACTTGATCTATCCGTGCAGAGAGCCGTGACTGTCACTCACGGCTCCCTGCAAGGATTCCCCCCTCCCCTGTCCGATCCTCCAGCGCTGACTGGCGGGATGGACGGGGGAGGGGGCGGGTACAGCTGGCTCTGTCTCCGGATAGGCAGAGCCAGCTGTCACTCACGCAGCTGGGTGGATCCAGACAGAATTGTCGGGATCCGTTACGGCTGCGGCGCCTCAGTATACCGCGAGCTGTAGCTAGCGGTATACTGAGCTTTGGGTGACTGGAGGACGCTAGTTTGTGTCCTCCCGTTACCCTGAGGAGAACTATTGAGAAAAGCCCTGACCTCATAGTTCTCCTTTAATTGTTCAATTTGTTAGCTCATAGGAGACGTCTCTGGCAATCGGCCGACCATCTGCTTTCATGTTTCATTCAGAACCCAATTTGTGTTGATTTTTTTTCAATTCCTACACACTTTCAATTTAGTATTTTAATCGAATTACAAAGTAACTTTTTGTTTGAATCCCCATGGTATTATTTTCTATCATCCAGAATTATCTTCCTGCAGACTTCAGTTTGTAATCAGGATCTTTGAGGGCTTGTTCACACCAAGCGCGTTCCAGGAGCAGAGCAGAGCAGTTACAGACCGGATCAAAACTGCGTCCAATGTATTCCAATGGTATTTTGGGTTCTAGTTCACATTTATAGATGAGGGGTTAGTATGTTAGTACATGTTAGAACAATAACAAGGTATCCTTGCATACCGCATTACTCTCATATTTCTAATCTTAATTATATATACTTATTTAGTTTTTTTCAGTGGTATGATTTAGTGGTGACATTTATTAGTGCCCCCCCAGTTTTGACTGTGGTATCTTATGTGCCCCCCCTATATATTGTTCCTAGAGTCGCCACTGTCTGGAACGCATGCAAACACACCAAAAACGCATGCAAACGCACTGGAATGCACTGAAAGCCCATTTTAAACTAAATATATATAGATATTTTTGACCAAAAACAGCCTGGAACGCATCGAAAACGCGTCAAAAAACGCCGTTATAACACACTGCACTGCGTGTGCAGAAACGCATGCAAATCTGGTCTGCATTTGGTGTGAACAAGCCCTTAGAATCCCTGTCCCATTGCTCCTGTATCTGGAGCACTGCCTGTCCTAGATATTTGAACAGAACCTGTTGCCATATTATAGGCAGCCTGTTGAGTCAATCAAAGGGCCATAAGGTACATGTAGAGGTATACGGTCAGTACAGAGAGGTAATAGGACAGAATAGAGAGGTATAGGGTTGGTGTAGAGGTATAGGGACAAAGTAACGAGGTGAAGGGTCAGTAACGAGTCAGTGTAGGGAGGGGTAGAGAGCTATAGGTAGGGTTGCCACCTGTCCAGGAATCACCCGGTCAGTCCGGGTCTTGAATGCTGTGTCCGGGTTTCATGCCAGCTGAAAGCCGGACACAAGATATCAGGCAGACAGGGGAAACTAAAATTAAGATAAGGGCTACTGGGCCCCCACTGAAAATAGTCTCAACTGTGATATTTACATTTGAATGGGAGGCACTATTTACATATGAACAAGCCTCGACTCATTCTCCCCCAAAAATGTCAGCTCGTCGCTAGAGTGTTCAGGTTTCGCTTGAAGAAAAGGTGGCAACCCTAGGTATAGGGTCAGTAAAGAGTCAGTGTAGGGAAGGGCAGAGAGGTATAGGGTCAGTAAAGAGTCAGTGTAGGGAAGGGCAGAGAGGTATAGGGTCAGTAAAGAGTCAGTGTAGGGAAGGGCAGAGAGGTATAGGGTCAGTAAAGAGTCAGTGTAGGGAAGGGTAGATAGGTATAGGGTCAGTAAAGAGTCAGTGTAGGGAAGGGTAGAAAGGTATAGGGTCAGTAACGAGTCAGCGTAATGAGGTATAGGGCATGTAAAGAGTCAGTGTAGGGAAGGGTAGAGAGGTATAGGGTCAGTGTAGGGAAGGGTAGATAGGTATAGGGTCAGTACAGAGAGGTATTAGGATAGAGAAGAGATGTATAGGGTTGGTATAGAGGTAAAGGGTTAGTAAAGGGTCAGTGTAGGATCAGGGTAGAGAAGTATAGGGTCAGTACAAAGAGGTATTGGGACAGAGTAGAGAGATATAGGGTCAATAAAGAGTAAGAGTAGGGCAGTGTAGAGTGGTATAGGGTCAAGGAGTTATAGGTTCCCCATAGAGAGGTATAGGGTTAATTAATTAGATATACAGCCGGTGTAGCGGTATAGAGACCAAATAGAGATATATAGGGAAAAGATAGAATGGTATAGGATCAGTAAAAGGTCAGAATAGAGAGGTATAGGGTCAATGTAGAGGTATAGGGTCAGTACAGAGAGGTATTGGGCCTGTACAGAGAGGAATAGCGTCAGTGTAGAAAAGGTTTAAGGTCAGTGCAGGGTCAGGATAAGGAGGTAAATGGCCTGCATTAGACATGTGCACTGCCAAAAAATTTGTTTAGTTTCGTTTCGTTTTAAATTCGGATTTGTGTTATTTCGTTTTTCAGGATTCGGGTGTGAAAGTCAATTCGGATTCGGAATTCGGATTCGGACGAAATTCGGTAGCGTTAGTACGAACGTTTGTTTTGTTTTCTGTTCTTATTCGTTTCTTATTTTTCTCCTTCTCTCCTTCTCCTTCTCTAATGTCACTTTGCTCCAACGAACGAAACGAATAAGAAACGAATAAGAACAGGAAACGAACGTTCGTACTAACGCTACCGAATTTCGGAAATGGAAATTCGGATTCGTTTGCATTCGTTATGTCTGTAATTCGGAATTCGGATACATCCGAATGTCCGAATTTCCGAAAATTCGTCCGAATTTCGATTCGGAACGAAACTAATCGCACATGTCTAGCCTGCATAGAGAGGTTTAGGGTCAGTGTAGGGTTAGCGCAGAGTGGTATGAGTTTCTGGTAGTTCAGGATTGAGCGGGATACTCCAGGGTCAGCATTGAAGTACATTGTGGGTTGGTGTTGAGCCGGCTTGTTTGTGTGGATCAATATTGGTTATTTGTGGTGTCTTTTGATGGAATGTGGCATCCCCAGAAATGGTTTTAGGTTTACTGCACTGGTCATATATGTGTAGAGTATTGTGTATCCTAAAACAAAAGGGAGTCTTGCAGAGGGCAACAATGATCTGTTTAGGGTTCCCATGCTGTTGGTTCATCTCTTCAACACTTGTTACATTCTGTATGTTTTACAGGGAGACATGAGTCTGTCCTTCTGTGGGAACGACACAAACACCACGTACAATGTGAATAATGGGGTTCTGAACAATATCTGCTTCCTGGATGCCTTGAACCTTGTCCCCCATGTCTTCCTGCTCTTCATCACCTTTCCCATCCTCTTCATTGGTGAGTCAAACCTCTACCCATAAGCAGCCAAGTTGTTATATGTGCGCACAGTGAAGCCTCATTGGTTAGGTCAGGTCACATGCATCCCTTTGGAAAATTAGGGCAGCTAACATATAATTATTTATTAGAGTGCCTTTTGTGGGATGGAGTATGTATGCTGGTAGTGGTCAGTTGTGGGATCTAGGAGGTTAGTATAGATTTGATATAAGCTCCATTGTTGCCAGTGTAGAGGTATAGGGACCAAATACAGATATATAGGGACAAAGTAGAGAAATATAGGGTCAGTAAAGGGACAGTGTAGTGTCAGAATAGAGAGGTATCCGGTCAATTTAGAGGTAGGGGGTCAGTAGAGAGAGGTATTGGGACAGAGTAAAGAGGTATAGGGTCAGTAAAGGGTCCATGTAGAGTCAGAATAGAGAGGTATCCGGTCAATTTAGAGGTAGGGGGTCAGTAGAGAGAGGTATTGGGACAAGGTAGAGAGGTATAGGGTCAGTAAAGGGTCAGCATGGGGGCAGGTTAAAGTGGTATAAGGTCAATGTAGAGGTATAGGGTCAATACAGGAGGTATTGGGACTGAGTAGAGAGGTATGGGTTCAGTAAATAGTCAGCATAGGGCAGCGTAGAGAGGTATAGGGTCAATGTAGAGATATAGGATCAGGACAGAGAGGTACTGCATAGGGTTACTGAATTAAATATAGAGGCAGTGTAGATGTATAGGGACCAAATAGAGATATATAGGGACCAAGCAGAGCAGTATTGGGTCAGTAAAGGAACAGTGTAGAGTCAGTATAGGGAAGTATAGGGGTCAATGTAGAGGTATAGAGTCAGTACAGAGAGGTATTGGGACAGACTAGAGAGGTAAAGGGTCAGTAAAGGGTTAGTATAGGGCAGGGTAGCAATGTATAAGGTCAATGTAGAAAGTTAATTAGAAAGTGGTTAGTGAATTAGATAAAGAGCCGGTGTAGAGGGGTAGGGACCAAATAGAGATGTATAGGGACAAAGTAGAGCAGTAGAAGGTCAGTGTAGGGTACAAATAGTGAAGTATAAGGTTAATGTAGAGGTATAGGGTCAGTACAGAGGGGTATTGGGCCTGTATAGAGAGGAATAGGGTCAGAGTAGAAAAGGTTTAGGGTCAATGTAGGGTCAGGATAAATAGGTAAATGGCCTGCATAGAGGCGTTTAGGGTCAATGTAGGGTTAGTGCAGAGTGGTATGAGGTTCTGGAAGTTCAGGATTGAGTAGGATACTCCAGGGTCAGCAGTGAAGTGCATTGTGGGTTGGTATTGAGCCGGTTTGTCTGTCTGGGTCAATCTTGGTTATTTAGGGTGTCTCTTTTGATTGATGTTTTGGATTTTCTCAGGTTGGGGAAGTCAGAGCTCCAAGGTTCAGATCCATCACAACACTTGGCTGCATTTTCCTGGACACAACCTGCGATGGATACTGACCTTCATTCTCCTCTTTGTCCATGTATGCGAAATCGCGGAGGGCATCGTCTCAGACACGTAAGTCCACTCTAGTCCCATACACATCATTGTGGAAGTTCTCCTTATGGGTATGTGCAGGGGTGCGCAGCCTATTGCATTAGTGTGTGCACAACAAAAGTACAAACACACACGTGTATATCTGTATGTGTGTGTGTGTGTATAAGTATAGGGTTGCACAGATACCAAGTACAGTACTCGGTACAAGTATGAGTACATGTACCGATACTTTTGATCTCCAAGACTCGACTAGAGAAAAATTCAAAAATTAGGAGGCAGCTGTCATTTGTAAGGAGCACACGGAGCGCCTGGGATTTGTAGATCTCTGTTTTAATGTACGATTTTGTTTTTATAAATATAAATAAAAGGATGCACCGATACCAGTTTTGCGAGTACGAGTACTGGTACTTGCCGAGTACTTACAAGTACGAGTACTGATACATTTTTGTTTATTGTCATGTGACAGTTTTTCTAAAACAATACAGACTAATGATTTCGGGACAGTGGTGGAGCGCCAGAGCCCGGTCCCAGCTGCAACCGCTGCAACCCTGGTAGTTCTCATGAAAATGCCAAGTATCTGCACTGGTACTCAAAAAATATCTGTGCATCCCTAGCATATACACAAATCTGAGGCATCAACTTCAACTGTCCCTTACCTCTTCCAGCAGGGGTGCAATAATGAAGCAGGGAAGCCGCAGCCACGCTCCCTTGCTGCTTCCCAGGCACCAAGGTCTGCAGCTGTTATGTGAGGAATGTAAGTGGCATGTGCTGCTGTGCTGAGCCAGTCACAGAGAAATCTTTGTGATCTCTCCACCGGCTTAGTGACTAAAACACGGCACCCACTGTTGCGGTATCGGTGTTGTGCGTGGGATGATTAGGGTGTGCCCAGACACACCTGGCGAACCCTGTGCGCACGCCTATGTGTATGTCTATCCCACAGCCAACGTACAATCCATGCCAGGTGTACCATACCATTCATACTGTGGATCAAGTCATATACATGTGATGTATACCTGCCAAGAAATGTGTAATGCTCCCCCACAACCCTGCTCTGCTTTATAACTGTATAGCCCTCCAGATGCGGCACTGCAAGACTCTCACAGCCACAGGCATGACTTCCAGAGGCAGATGCATGATGAGAGTTGTAGTTTCACCACAGCTGGAGGGCCAAAGTTTGGCTACCCCTACTGCATAGTATTAGGAGGTGACAACACTCTTCAGCACCTACAATTCTGCAGATTCTGTGCCCCTGCTCCGCACTGGAGACACCCACCCTGTATTCCCTTCCTCCTGTAAGTTCATCCACTTATGACTAGACATGTGCAGGGCAAAAAAAATAGTTTCGGACGAAACAAATTAAAATGAAAAACATTTTCATTAGTTTCATCAATGGAAACAAATTTTAATTCTGTTTCGGATTCGGAGGCAACGAGCCTCCAAATCCAAAACCACACTAAGAAACTGCAGAACGACTGTATCGGCCTCAAGCGCGTTCTGCGCATGCGCACCGCCATTTTGGAATATATCTTGGTATACACCAAACAGGCATCACCCGAATATGTGGGCGCCGCCATCTGGGTGTATACCAAGATATACTCCAAAACGGCAGCGTGCATGCGCAGAACACGCTGGCGGCTGATCTGGCCCCCGCTCGTTCTGCAAACAACGTCACCCATGACGTTGTGTCTTGTGACGTTATGCACCCTGCCTCCAACATGGCGGCAGGCATGTGCAGAACGCGCCGGTCGCCAATAAGGAATTTTTATATGCCCGAATATCGTTTTAGTATATTTGGGCATATAAAAAATGTGTTATTTCGAATTCGAACGAACGGCCGAATCAATGGAATTTTCGTTGATTTGCAGGTTCGTCAGAATCTGAATGCACATGTCTACTTCTGTCCGGACCTCCTGCCCATCGGCTGAGGAAAAGCCACTCCCGCTGTAAGCCTAATTTTAGTTTTCCAATGATTAGAGACAGCTCAGTTATTATCAGTTTATGTAAAATATAGACATTTAGTACATAATGTATGTATTGGTGGTCCCTGTGACTGATAAAAACTTCATAAAACCTTTCTTGCAGGAAAATGGAGTCATGGCACTTACACCTCTTCATGCCGGCCATTGTGGGATTCATCGCAGCAACAACATCCATCATCTATTACCACAATATCGAGACCTCCAACTTCCCCAAACTTCTGTTAGGTAAGAAGAATCCACTGCAGGGAATCTGTAGATTGCAAGGGTTAACAGAAGGCCTGGTGAAGTGACTAGAGGGTGCAGAGATGAGTAAAGTGCAGGAAACCAGGCGGTGCTGAGACTAAAGACTGTCTTCTTCTGCTCTCGTCTCCTCCTACACTTGTACCCGAGAAGACCCCCCTAGAGATTGTGTTACAGTATTTTCTGCCATGTTCCAGAAATGTGATTTCTCAATACTCTTATGAAACGTGATCTATCGCACCAGTCGCTGGAGGAGAATCATTACACACGCTCGTCTTGAATGTTTGGATTGGGGCCAGTCTCTGAGTTATTTGGGGTAGTCTTGGCCCCGTACAACCACTTAATTGGTTCTCTGTGGACCCAACTTGTAAATACAATGGAAACTGTAACATGTGTGGCCAGCTTAAGTCTTTATTGGAGTGTCAGTCCCATGAGGAATTTAATTAATATCTGAAAAATATAGATACTGAGGTGTCTGCCCACTCCTCTTCTCTGCTGTTCGTTCTCTCCTTTCCCCTCCTTCTGCTCTTCCTTCTCTTTCCTCCTCTTCTTTACCTTCTCTTCTCTCCTCTAATCCTCTTTTTTCTGGTCTCCATCCTCTCCTTTCCTCTACCCCACCTTATTTTATTTGCTTTACCTCTCTCTTCTCCTCTTCCCTCATATCTATCGTTTTGTTTTCTTTCCTTTGCCCTCTCTTCTCCCTTCTCCTCTTCCCTCATTTCTCTTCTCTCCTCTTCCCTCCCATGCCCTCATTTTTCTCCTGTGCCTTTTCTTCTCCTCTCTTCTGCCTTCCCTTCTCTCCTGTCCTCTTTCCTGCACTCCCTTTTCTCCCTCCTTTCTGCCTTTCACTCTCTCATCTTCTTTGTCTTCCATTCACTCCTCTCCTTTTCCCTCTCTTCTCTTACCTCCCTTCACTCCTCTTCTCTCTCTGCTCTCCTACTCCCTCTCTGCTCTCCCCTGCCATCACTTACCTCCTTTCCTTCTCTTCTCCTCTTCCCCCTCTGTTCTCCTCTTCCCTCTCTGTTCTCCTCTTCCCTCTCTGTTCTCCTCTTCCCTCTCTGCTCTCCTCTTCCCTCTCTGTTCTCCTCTTCCCTCTCTGCTCTCCTCTTCCCTCTCTGTCCTCCTCTTCTCTCTCTGCTCTCCTCTTCCCTCTCCGCTCTCCCCTGCCCTCACTTCCCTCCTTACCCCTCTCTTCTCCTCTTCCCTCTCTGTTCTCCTCTTCCCTCTCTGCTCTCCCCTGCCCTCACTTCCCTCCTGTACTCCTCTTCCCTCTCTGTACTCCTCTTCCCTCTCTGTTTTACTCTTCCCTCTTTGCTCCCTTCTTCCTTCTCTGCTGCACAAAATTATTATTTCCAAATGATGATTTTAAAATGAAAATAATGATGATGTCCGTTTAGGGTTGGGCTCCTCATTGACTTTTCAGTAATGCGTTTAGCGGTCACCCTTTTAAACCCCCGTACTGTATTCCTCATGTCACCACTATTGCTTTGTCTTAACTTCCTTTTAATTTTAACCTTCGCAAAAAGTTATGAATTCTGCGCTTATCATGTACCAGGGCAGCTTTGATTGTCCTCTGAACCAATGCATACCGGCTGATATTTGTGTCATGCAGCTCTCTTACTCTACTGGGTCTTGGCTTTCATCTCCAAAACGATCAAGCTGGTGAAGTATTCTCAGAACGGGATTGGTCTGACTCAGCTGCGGTTTTGCATCACCGGGATAATGGTCATCCTGTACGGTCTGCTCATGGCGGTGGAGGTCAATGTTATTCGGGTGCGGGTATGTTAGTCTTTGTCTTCTGTGTGCCTTCTGTCTCTGTGACGGAACACATCTAATCTCTCGTTTTATTCCCTCGTCTTGTAGAAATACGTCTTCTTCATGAACCCCAGAAAGGTGAAGCCCCCAGAAGATCTCCAAGATTTAGGGGTGCGGTTCCTCCAGCCGTTTGTGAACTTACTTTCCAAAGCTACATACTGGTGGATGAATCCGCTGATCATCTCGGCCCACAAGAGGCCTATCGATCTGAAGGCAATTGGGAAGTTACCCATTGCCATGAGGGCGCTCACCAACTACGTCAGCTTGAAGGAGGCCTATGATGACCTGAAGGTATGAAGATTATTGGTGGTTTCTGGGTGCTATCAGTGGTGCGCTTCAAAGTTTGAGCCCCGCAGCAGTTCAGGTATTCACAATTTCACCATGTTTTGAGCACCCATTAGGTGGGACGAATCAGGTGGATTGGGCCATGGGTCATGTCAGGGTACAGCTCTGTATGGGTCTCCCTCTGCAAGTCATGCCTGCAGCTTTGAGAGTCTTGCAATGCCTTATGAGACTTGTTGTTTCACCACATCTGGAGGGCTATACAGTTATATAGTACAGTAGGGGTGTGGAGGAGGATTATACATTTCCTGTATATGACTTGATCCACAGTATGAATGGTATGGTACACCTGGCATGGATTGTACGTTGGCTGTGTGATAGACATACAAATAGGCGTGCGCACAGGGTGTGCCAGGTGTGCCTGGGCACGCCCTAATCACCCCACACACAACACTGAAACCACAACAATGGTGCTGTGTTTTTAGTCACTGAGCTGATGGAGAGATCACAAAGATCTCTCTGTGATCGGCTCAGCACAGCAGCACATGCCACTTACATTCTTCACATAACATCCGCAGACCTCGGTGCCTGCTTCATTACTGCACCCCTGCTGGCAGAGGTAAGGGACAGTTGAAGAGATGGAAATCCAGGATGCCAGTTCAGCAATGGAGCTTGTTTGAATGTAATGTAACACCACATTATGGCCACTAGATGCAGCTGGGGGAGAAATTAATTCTTCTTCTCTATGCTCCTCATCTCCATCTAGTGGCCCTAATATGGTATTTTACTAATATTATGTTCGACCTGAAAAGAAAAAAATACACTAAGAACGTTCATTTTTGCCTCTATTCACACAAAACCAACATGCGCTGAGATTATTCGGGCGAATGGCCCTGTGAAATGTTTAAAAATAGACCCCATAGTAAATGTGCCGATCACAGTTTGCACAGCTCGGCCTTTTCACCTGTGTTGTAAACATGTTGTTAATCTGTTTTATTCCAAATACATAAGATTGCACAATTGTGATGCATAAGCCAACCTGCTCTGCATTTTCAAAGTGTTCTCCTTCCGAGCTGTTGCAGAGCCTTCTTAATATAAGATAGATGTGTCGTTCTCATTTTCACATGCTCATTTCCCCATTGGGATTGTAATGTTTCATATACAGATTTGTGAGCATTTCCTCTTTTAGCTGTCTGTACACCAGGCAGTGCAGTCAGAACTCTTGCTGAACGGATCCGATTTTTTTTTTTTAGGGATTCTTCCTGTTTTGTGTTTTGCTGCCAATATAGTGACTATTCCAGGGACATTTCTTGACACTAATCATCAAGTGTTCTTGTTAGAAACAAGCAGAGTGTTTCCGAGCAACAAGAATCCCCGGCGTCCGTCACACAAATCCTGCTCAGTGTGCTGGAAAATGTTTGGCATTCCGGACCCCGAGGATGCCGCGTTTGTGGGATTCCTAATGGCAGTCGGTCACATTGCTGCAGTAATTCCTTCACCGAGCAAGTGACAGTTATAATGGAGGGAAGACGGGAAGCAGCTTCTGGAGAAATGAAAATGTCTGAACTTTTGTCATGTCAGACAAAATGTCAGCAGCGTGTGCAGACTGCATTCTATATCATGGAATTTGTATATTTCCCCTTCGTGGTGACATATTCCAGCACCACTGTCTGCGTTCTCTGCATCCCCCGGACTGAACTCCTATTCGGCAGCCATTCATATTCAAAATGTTCCCTTCAACCACTGCAACGGTACAGTATGTACACAGGATTTGTCAGGCTCCTTATCTCCTGGGCTGGATTTACTCTCTCTGCTGCCCCAATGCCAGGTTCCTCAATGCGCCCCCCTCTATGCAGGCTGCATACAAGTGATCTCCGACCTCGACAAGATTACTTATACAAAACAAGCAGCGGCTTCCCGGCTGAACATTTAGCCCTGCTTGCCCAAAGCAGAACTGAGGGCCCGTTCACACCAGTTGCAGTGCGTTCCGGCCAGATTCTGGACGGAACGCACTGCATAGCATTGCGGCCGGCTCACTTTTTTGCCGGGCAGGAAGGGGTGTGGCAGGCCATTGAGGTGAATGGCACAGAACTGGGCACCGTAGCCACGCCCTCCGACCGCAATGCGATCGCCCGCACGGGTTCGCAAGGCACATTGTGCCTGCAGTCCAGTCCGGTGCGATCAAAATGCTGCACGGGCCCTAAATGTAGAAAATAGCTACCTGCCCGGCGCCTGGAACTGCATATCCCAGGCCTCGGGAGATAGGAATTCCACACCCCTGCTGCCCCTCTACTCCCTGCCGCCCCCAGGGCCGGGCCTCGGTTGGCCTTTTGGGAATCCGGCCCTGCCTGCTTCTATATCTATGTATCCCTGCTGCCTGCACACAGCTTGAGGTCCTATCACAGGCATCCCCTGCAATGGCCTTGTGTACTGGGGTTGTCACGCTGGTCAACACTCTTGCAGTAAGTGCTGCTGGGAGTGCGGCTTTCCTGATCACAACACGCAGACAGCCGCGTAGGCAACATTTCCATGTTAGCATTTGTTGTGAAGGATTTCAGCAGGTGCATTGGCATATCCTACAAAAGATTCGGACAAGCA